GCTATATCAAATGCAAGGGTTAATATGATTATTATTAGTAGTATAACCAGACATCACACCTTCAATTACACACCGTATACACACCCTTTTACAGCTGTTCTTGGTTGTTTTGAGACATTTGATCGTTGCACAGACTTCCATTCTACAATTTCTATGTTTTGTACCCTCTTCCTATCACGGTCCAGGGAAATATGTGTAATTTGATAAGGTGCAAATCCCACAGTCTCACTGGCAATAACTGTAACTATCTTAACAACCTTAATAAGTCCCCTTGTAAACAAATCTTGTATTGGCAAATAGTTAAGTGGGCATTCAGCCAGGTGCTGAATTCTACTCACTTTTCAGGTATTAAAATACTGGTTTGCTTCATCTTAGTGAGGAAAATACTGAGGTTGAAGTGCGCTTCAAGGCAGTAACACAGCAAGGGCTCACATATTCCATAAACTGTACGAGTGAAACTCGAGCACTTTAACATAAATTTGCACCACAAGATGTGCTACATCTTTGAATTGCGTGCCAGCATATGTGCGTATTTAATATGCTGCAGCCTGTGTTATTCTATATAAAAAAATATGTTTGGGCAAGGATTGTTTTAATAGAGAGATTATTTTGGTTGGGTTAGAGAGAATTGCAGCAGCCAGAAGGACTGTGTGATTCAATCAAGAGTTTGAAATACAGCACTATTGTTCTCTGTGTTGTGAACTGCTGGAAGAGCAGAGCTGACATTCCTCAGTGTTAATGGATGGCATGAGCTGTAAGGTGCAAACTCAATTTATCCGTGCCCGATCAAGTTTCTTGAAAACCTGCCATCATTTTCTCCACTTTGTTTATCTCCTCCACACAGTCTCCACGCCTCTTAGCTCCCAAAACCCAGTATTCAGTCACTGTTCCATCCCTTCCTGACTCAGTGCCCAGCTCCTGTTCCCCTCACTTCCCCGGCTGAGCTGCCTGCTCACCTCCCTTTCTGTCCTAGTTCCCACAGCCAGTCAAATCTCCACTTTTCCAACTTGCAGCCAGACATTGCTGCTGNAAAAAACACTGCGTCACCTGAGTAAACAGAGGCATCACTCCACATCCAGACGTTTTAGCCTGCTTTAAATAACTGTAAACTGATCGAACAATTAGTAATTGCGTGACACATGTGTTATTGTGTGTGAATAGCATACGCGTCAGGGACAAATGGTTCCCAGAAATAACCCACCCGTGTCGCAGCCGACACTGCTCAGAGCAGCTGGAACCGCTCACCGCTTATGTTCCATAAACCGTTGTTTTATCCTGGCATATAGTGTATGTTACCAGCGTATTCGAGATATTCAGAAATTAGGAAAAATCTGTTAAAGAGATTGAAGAGTCAAATTCTATTTCGATCGAATCTACTGTTTGCACTTCTGTAAATTTAACTCTGAAGAGACTTCCACTCATATTGCTTCACATTTATATTGTAAAATGGAGTGATTGGGTATTTTGTAGGCAAAGAAGGAAGGTAATTTCTATACAGGAATGTCCCACAAATACCCATGAAATGGAAGACCAATTTTACTTGGGAGTTTGTTCGCCAGGGCTCAATCCCTCTGCCTCGCTCTCTCTATTTATCTTTAACCTGAACCCAAGCTCTTTAATCACACCTATGGTCACCTCCCCCACCTTGTTCTACCTCAACTCTGTACTGTCCCCTCACCCCTATACTGTGCTCCAAGACACTATCTTGCATGAAGGGCACTATATAAAGGCGTTGTTGTTGAATAGTGCGATCTTTAAGATCAATCTGACATTTTTTCAAGCCATGTACGGGCCTAGGTATTTCGAATTCAGCATGTTGTTCACTCACACACAGTCAATGTGTGTGGTATCTATTCAAATTGTGTAATATCATTTGCATTTTTTTCACGTTACTAAACAGTAATGTGATTTAGCCTGGGGCAGGAGGAGGGGAAGCAAGCAAAAGAAGACTGACAGATGCATAACCATTCATAAGAATCCTTCTGTTTTTAATAATGTGATTGACCTAGAGGTCAAGACCTTTAACACGTCTGACAACCATATTTAGGGCCACCATGGAATTGGTGTTAGTCTATGATTTTACAATAGAACTATATAATCCCTTTGTTTACCTTACCAATCCACCCCTTGGAAAAATTAGCGTGCAACCATTAATTGTAACCAAACTATAATTTGTTCTGAAATGTAATATTTCTTTCAGTAAGTGCACAAGTTACAACTTACAAATGAGAAAAACAAAGTTTAATTGTCGATATAAATGTGTCTATATAACAGCAAATCAAATTTCACATTTGTTAAGAATACATGTTGAGGTCAACATAAGCACTGCATCAGAAGTGGACTGACGTGGGTAGTTTATTCAGGTGTAGTTTAGGCACTGGTATTCGTTATTTCAGTGAAGTTGGCATAGCGACCACTTTATTATTGTGGACCACACATTTGGAAACATTTTTCATTGACTGCAATAATAGAGCTCAACTTAGAAAATGGTTTTATAGCAAGATTTCAAGGCAGACCCACAGTTATTTGGGCAAGAGCCAGATCATGGTGAAGTCTATGGGGTGTTTTTCTTTACCTCCCTCTCTCTCCCGTCCCATTATTCTCTGTCAGGTGCCCCCATGGTTAAATCACCTCCTGATACTCACTGTCTGGGTTCCCATACTGTATGAAGAACGGCCCCTTGGGCAATGCACCAGAGGTTTGCTGGCACCAGTGAAACCACACTCCAGCCTTCTGGTGGGAAAAAACTGTAAAGTACATTTCAATATAAAACTAATCTGGGAGTTAGGCCAGTTCTTTAAAGCAAAATAGTGTGCTTTATATCTAAATAATTATTACAGATTTTTTTTATTTGACAACTTCATTATTTGTCTTCCTGGCTTATGGGTGGCTATGGCAGAGGTTGCTTGGTGTGAGTGGAAACATAATGGTCAAGATAGCTAACAGGAGCTGAAGCCATATGGCAACATTTCAATTGAGACTATAAGAGCAATTTGTTATTGCGAAAAGATGACCAGAAATTGTTTTATATTAAAAAAGAATGGTGCTGTTAGTTTGTATAAGCATTCTATTTTAACAATCCTATAAAGGTGAGACGGTTGTTAGTAGATTGCCGAAACATTTTCTGGGGTAATAGTCCCTTCAAAGAAAAAAAATTATTTGTTCACTCAATCCACAATTGTTGTGCGCAATTGGACGAGTTTCACCCACAAAATATAGTCAATTCACTTTACAGTATATTCTGTTAAGGGCCGTGAGACGTCTCAACGACGTGATAAGGCATTATATCAAATGCAAGGATTATTATTATTTATTATTATGGCAATGGGAGTCTGTCTGGACATGTCAATAAAGCCTGACCATGATCTTATCACAGATGGACTCATGTCTAATTCAATTAATTTCAAAATAGAGTGCTTGTTTTTTTAAAAAATGCTGATTTCAGTTCCATTTATCTCATTTAATGCTAACCCCTAGTGATCTCCATTCCCTTTGAGAACCTTGCATAGTCATGATATTTGTTCTCTCCACCTATGTGCTATTAGCTCAAGATTATTATTATTATTATTATGGCCATTCTTGAACAGAACCCATGTTGCCTGCAGGTCGTTGAGGACATTTTGCAAGCGATTGAGTATAATTCTACTATCATTACAGAGACTGGAATATGTTCTACACCTCCAAAATAAACAATAGGGGCATGGTGAGAAGCGTGGGGAAAGAGAATGCGTATCCATGACGTGTTTGTCAGCAAAGCCTTAAGACAGCAATCTGAAAGATTGATTGATTAGACATGCACAGGATATGTGTAAAAGTGTACCTGGTCTCAGCTATATAAAGCTGCTGGATGAGCAGTATTTGAAGTACAGGAGTTACAAGACTATACTAATCATTGGGCAAGTAAACTGGTAGTTCACTTCATTTGCTGCAACAGTCTCAAGCTCCCTCCATTGGTAGGGACGATGTGTGTTGCTCGTTTCTTGGGTACTGCTCTCCGTACCTCTGCATTTAGTGTAGCTGATTGAAATGCACATGAAATTGAATGATTTGCTAAGTGAACCAAACATGCTAGATTTATTGTGATGCACAATTAGAATTCAGGACCCCAGCTCCATATTTGATTCAGCATTGAGAAAGAAAGAGTTTAGCAGTGAAGTCAGTCAGTAAACTGACTATCTCTTTTGTATTGGACCATAAAAAAGTAAGAAAAAAAGGAAATAAAAAATAGGTGTTATCTGTTTGCATTGGTGATTGTTTGCTAAATATTCTTTAAAGGTTGCAACAGTTTTACTAGATTCTGAATGTCTTAGTTTTGGGTGCAGTGCTAGAATGTACACAGTAATAATAACCCTGTAGTTTTTTTCATTATAACCCCAAACTAATACTGCAGTGCCACTGGTGTATTGTTTTAGTTTGGTATTTGTTTGTTTCTTGCTCAGGGTATCTTATTTTGTTACGCCGTTGTTTCCTCTTCACATATGGGATTCATTGTTGTTTGATGGCTGTTGGTAGAGCTGATTCAGTGTTTAATTTGGATAAGGCCTCTTTTGCTTCAATGTTAGTTTTTCAATGAAAGATCTTCCATTTTTCTAATACTTAATCACGTCAAAACACATCACACATAATTACTGTCGTGTGTGACTGCTTTTTTAGGCATACGAGACAGCAGATTAAGGCAGCAAGCTCCCATTAGTTTGTAAATGACCAATTTATCTGGAGGATTGTTGTCCAGGCGCTGGAAGAAGCTCCTATCTCTCTTTGAATAATGTCATGGGCTCTTTGATATGTACCTGAAACAGACAAATAAGACCTTGGTTGATCATTTCATCTGAAACACAGCATCTCTGTCATTGTAGTGCTCCCCTAGTATTACACTAAAGTGTCATAGGCAATTAACTCAAGTCCTGGCTTCAATCTAAAACCTTCTGACTCAGAGGGGAGAATGTTTTGCAAACTGATGCTAGCGCAGCTAAGTTATAAATTTGTGCTTTATGTTGCAGATGTAAAGGAGCAGCCAACTATGGACTTTTAGGGGAACGGAAAAAACAGTGTCAGGAAGGCTGTTCAGTAGGTGATGGAGATTCAGTTCCCAGGATTCCTGCAGACGACAGTGATGTGACCATGTCGGTGCTTTCTTCACAACTGTCAGCATCTGCAGCTGTGGCCTTCATGACAGATGACGCTGGTCTGGTAAACCCGGCCTTTGATGCAGAAGACAACCGATCAGAAAGCAGTTCCAGTGCTCACAGCAAAAGTAGTAACAAGATATGTAAGTGACATTTATAATTTTGAGCTGCGTTGTAAGAAATATGATGGCAGACAGCAGCCATTGAACTGTCTTCTATAATGAGTCACCATCTTGTGAAGGGAAGTAAATTTGGGCGCGGTGTCTAATACTTTATTTAAGAATGAACAGTATTGTAAAATACTATTAAAGTCCACCTGAGCACTCCCAGAATGTCTATAACTACTATTTTATAATTGTTTGATTAAAAAATTGGCACTTATTCAGGGTTTTATTCATGGACTATCGATGGGGTGTTTGCATTTACAATTCTAGTTTTAAACTAAAATGGCCTCTCTTTCTTTTCACACTATTGTACATTGTAAAACATACTTTGTGTAATCTCATGATCACTTGAAGTAATAAATACTCTGATGATTATACAGAGGTGACATTCATTTCTATTTTCTCTCAGACCGGCATTCAGAACACAAGCCAATGAGGAGCAGGTCCTTCAAAAAATTGAACCGAGCTTTCAGTTACCTTCGAAGAACCAGTAGCGGAAATCTGGTTGGTAGCAACTCTGGGGAGATTGTGCAGACTGACACACCTCCTGAAGAAGGTTAGCTACTTTCTGAATACTCATTCTGAACCATGACATCAAGCAAAAGAGCTATTGGTATCTGATAAATTGTCCTTCAGGACTGTTTACTAATAAACAAAGGGGAACATATTGCACATCCCCAATCCCATTTTTTACCAACAAGTGATTCTACAGGTACTTGAGTTCTTTAGCAAATTGGTTAGAGCACTCGCCGTACAAGCAAGAAAACCTGGGTTTGATTTCTGGGTGGGGTGAAACCTTGGGCAAGTTTCCTTACTCCACATGCCTCTGTTTCCCTAGCTGTGCTCAATTGAATGCTGTATTTCTCTCCACAAAATACACAGTCACTGCACTTTGGAGTATATTCTGTGAAAGAATTCTTCCAGAGAAGTGAAGTATGAGTTTGCTCTCCTCTAGACAAGGAACAGTATCCCACTTTAGTGAAGTAATCCATGTAACAACCTATTGCTAATTAGGTGGCAGAGCACATTGCTAAGCAATTAACAGTTCAAAGCATAAGAGTGTCTGAGATATGAGACTTGAGTCTTAACCAGAGACATAACTCTCCATCCAGCAATTCACAATGGGTTGGTAAAACTTCTTCCCAGGAAAGCTTCAGTGACCGGGAACTCTGAGATTTTAACTGTCAATTTTACATTTAGGAAGCACGAGCATTTTTGCAGGCTGCCTAACTCGTAACGTGTCATTCTTTGATCCAGTGTTATCCATTTAGGAGCGTGTAAAATATTTATGCAATAGTACCACACACACTGGAAGATCCATGGGGTTTTAGGTTAATGTTAACTGATACGTTGATGATCAACTGAAACGTAATGTACTGTACCCTGAATACATGTGCTTTAGGGCATTTTTGAAGTGCAAGCTAATAAACCAGATAACACAAGAGACAGAGTCAGACATTCAGTCATGTTTGTTCTTATAATTCCAGCATGCCCCAGATTACATCACCTAATTCCAGATGGTGAGGTTACAACCATCAAGATCAATCGTTCTGATGCACAGGAGTGTCTCGGCATCAGCATTGTGGGAGGATGTGAAACATCTGTGGAGAATATTGTTATACAAGACATTTATCGAGATGGTGCCATTTCAAAGGATGGAAGATTGTTGCCAGGGGACATGATCCTGGAGGTACTGCACATTGCTGAACCCTTTCTAAAAATGAACAGTTTGTGTTTCAGCAGCTGACTGAAGCTTGTTCCTGTTTGAAATCAATCAAACACCGTCAACGCTGTTCCAGTTCATCTTTTATTAATAATATTTCCTCATTTGACATAGCACCTATAACATTGACACCTATAACATAATAAAATAATAATAATAATCCATGACTGTTGGGGGACACTGCTGTGCGCAAATGGCTGTTGCGTTTCACCCACAAAATATACAGTCAATTCACTTCACAGTATATTCTGTGAAGCGCTTTGAGATGTCTCGAAGTTGTGATAAGGCGCTATATCAAATGCAAGGATTATTATTAACACAATCTGAGCTCAAGTGCCAACATGGAGCTTGAATGTAGAATCGCTGCCCTTGTGACACGATTGCTACCAGCTGAGAGACTGCACTATCGCCCAGAGAGAAGGCAGGGGATCTGCCCTCAGACCCGTTGAGAACCCAATGAATCTGACTGCTCTCAGGATATGTAATCAACTTCTTATCCTGAAGTTCTTCACTGCTCTCCCCGTTGAATGCCAAGGTAAAGAACATACAATTAACATAATCGTGGGTGCAGCTCTACTTCTTAGTGCTGCCATCTCCTGTGCTCCAACTTGAATGTCTCATAACTTTCTTTCTAGTGATATTACAACCCTGAAACTTCCAATGACCAATAACTATAATCCAGAATGTAGGACTGACCAGGGGATCAGACTATCTCAGATGACTCAAGTCAGAGAAACACCAATACATACTTGATGGCTGATTGGCCATTCTCTGTAATAGTGTAAAACGCTTTATGATTTTAGCTCCTTTTGCTTTAAGTGTTTTAACGATTTAAATTTACATTTGCAATTTTTTTTGGTGTCCAGGTAAATGGTACTGACATAAAGAATGTGCCTCATAACTATGCGTTGGCAGTGCTGAGACAGCCGTGCGAGAACCTCCTGTTGACTGTACTGAGAGAACAACGCTACAAGTGTAGAAGCAGCAGTGAAGCTAACTGCGCCAGAGATGACAGTTTCCACATCACCCTGTACAAGAGCTCTCATGAGCATCTTGGAATAAAACTGGTCCGCAAGGCTGACGAGTCGGGAGTTTTTATCTTTAATTTGCTTCAAGGTGGCCTGGCTGCCCAAGATGGCCAACTGCAACTGAATGACAGGGTACTAGCCATCAATGGGCATGATCTCCGCCATGGGTCTCCTGAAACTGCAGCACAGATCATACAGGTTAGTTTTGTTTACTCAATACGAATAATAATTCTTGTATTTGATATAGCACCTTATCAAGTGGTTAAGACGCCTCAAAGCGCTTCACAGAATATACTGTAAAGTGAATTGACTATATGTTTTGAGGGCAAAATGCACCAGTCATTTGCACACAGTCGTGTGCCATGGACAGTCGTGGACTGAGTGACCAAATTACAATTTTTTTTTGAAAAACAACCGTGTCCCTACTTACTGCTAAGTAAACAGAGATGTGTAAAGTAGGCAATTTGCCTAAGGTTATGCCCTGTCCAAGAATCGAACCCGGGTTTTCTCGCGTGCGAGGCAAGTGCTCTAACCAATATGCTTTATGCTCAAAAAACCTTTGTAAGGGTTTAGCAGCCATTTAGCAGAGCACTCCAAAGTCATGCGTGAAAAAGGAAACTAACAACTCAATTGAAAGAGATTATCTATGAAGATTGTGCTTCGGCAAAGACATAAAGCTAGTACATTGGGCAAGAGTGACCCTTATTAAACTAATAAATTGTGAAGGATAAATGATTCAAAATGCAGGATTTCACAAATGAAGGGAAATTCCATTCTTATCTATGCTCAGGAGCATGAGTCGGAAGTGCTTTAAAACCATTGCCTTAAAATGAAAGATAGTGCAGAATTTTAGAAAATTCTTCATTTAAGTCTTAATTTGGACATTGATTTTTCATAGTTCTGAAATTAGATCAGAATTTAAGACTTTTTCCAAAATTTCACAGGACTCTAAGGTATAAAAAATGATTTTAAGGCTAAGAGGATGAGAAATTTCAGGTTTCAGAACAATAATAATCCTTACACATGGTAAAGTACATTTCACATGTGGTGATGTCCTAAAACATTTCACAGGATACAGGAGCGACTATGTTTTTTGTGAGAGAACCTAAAGTTGAAAGCCCATATTTTTCTGAATGGTCAACCTTGCATCACTAACATTTATATTTTGCTTTCATCAATTGCCAGTAAAGCCTGCCATCACTGTAGATTTGTAGTTGCTACACTGGACATATCATAAGATCTCAAGATTGTTCTAGATGAAGAAGGCTTTTCGGCCCATCTGATTTAATCCGTCTGGAATACCACTTTTAAATGACTCTACTGACCTGGCCTCTACCACCTTTCCTAGTAACCTGTTCCACTTATTGATTACCCGCTGGGTAAAGAAAAACATTTTGCTATCTGTCCTGAAATTGCCCTTTACAGCTCTAAACCTATGTTCTTGTGTTCAACTGTCATGATACATCCTGAAATAATAATTTGGGTTTAGTTTTTCAATCCCGTTTAAAATTTAATTCACCTCTGTGAGGTCCCATCTGAGTCGTCTTCTCTCAATACTGAAGAGCCCTAACTTGTCTAGTCATTCCTCTAACACTAAGGATTATCCTTGTTGCTCTCCGCTGTGCCTCTAGAGTCTGGACAACTCCTTATTTTGTGGTGACCAACATTGCATACAATATTCTAGGTGCGGTCTGACCAGAGCACTGTACAGCGTAAGAATGACGTCTGGGATTTAAACTCAACTGATTTAGCAATATATACTCCAGCATCCTATTTGCTGCACATTGGCTGTATTTTCTGCTTTTTTGAGTTTATGCTTGTAAATGCTCAATTGGTTTAGTTGCCATTCATTTCAAGCTCTGACCAGTTGTATTAACATTCCTATTTCTGATATAAATGGCCATGCAGGTATCCAATGTGTGTGATTTGTGGCTTGGCAGCTGTAGTGTTCCATCTGGCCTGTCTTGTCCTCCACTGGAATCTGCGTTTGGACGGATGCTCATGTTATCTGGTCAATGTCAAGGATAATTGCTGAGCCTTGGTAGGAAGCAAAGTTATACAATTTGTGCCAAGTAAAACTTGGTGTCCAAGTGCAGAATCAGACTGGTGTATAGGATGTAGTCTATTTAGCTGCTAACCACTTATCAACAGGAATGTCAGCAAATAAATAAAACATCTGTTTTACCATAAGTGTGTTCTCATTATCTGCTTTAGCCAGGAATAACGTCTACTCATCCTGATGATGATTTCTGTCTTTTCTGTTATAAATTTCTTTAACATGCACAGTTTCAATTTTGATAGCCTTGAATGTTAGAATGGTTGTAGGATCACAGCACTGTGATTTGTGTACAATTCTGGTTGTAGTACTCAGATGCAGTGAATGTTCATACTGATGAAGAGAAGGGTGAGGGAAGATCTTAAGATCTCTTGAAGTAGATTCTCAAGAGGTATAGATTTACTAAACCCTAATATTTGAACATAGTCACAAACTTTGCAACTTGAATAGAATGTTTTAAATTAACTACTTCACATAGAGTGGTTAGTATGTGGAATAGGCCACCCAGGGACTTGGTGGAGACAAATTATGCCACCAAATTCAAGAGAAAATTAGGTAGCCAATTGATACCTTTTCCAACACATTCTGCTCTTATGGAGGTTTTCACCATGGAATCATGAGGGATCAAGGCTAGTGTAAATCATATCTATCATGTTTGTATTTAATAAACTATTTAAAACAATATGGACTTGTTAAGACCCATTTAGAAACTTGTGGTGCTTCTAACTGATTTCATACTTATATATTATGAGGCAATTAGAAAACAATATAATTCTTGCCCATCCTCTTATTGTGACTATAATTGTCACTCTGGATAAAACTGGCTATTTTATTGACATTTTTGGCTGCTGCTATTTGCAGCCTGTATATTGGCAAATAACTTGCTAAAATACTCCACATCAATACAGGTTCTATTGGGTTTCATGACGAAGTCTAGACACTGAATACTGCACATCAAATCACACCAGGTATAATCCATTAACCTTCAGTTTTTGGATGCCTACCAAAAGGCTGTGTATAATAATGGAACACCTGTTAAAGTTGTTTTATTTTATCAATTAGTCAAGTGTATTGCTGTAAGCTAAAACCTACTCTTTAGATCTACTTCCCACCAGAATGAAATAAACAATAATATAAAAGCATTTCCTGCCAGGCAACCAAACTGGAGCCAACCCAAAAATCTCCCAACAAGGTTTTGATATTGAACCGATTCAGTGTTTTGTTTAAATGTCACTGACATTGTAATTAATCTGTTGGTTCAGTGTCATTTGTCACTTGGGCTTTTGATCATTTTGCATGATCAGCATACTGAGTTAAACTGCAGACTTCAGACAAATCTTTTAAAAGCTATTGTTAAATTTTACTGTCTTTGCCTAAGTAACAGGAGTGCGAGTGAAATCATATTACAGACATTTATATATAATTAAATTCTGTAGACTGAAGTTTTAATGCACAATACTTTATAGCTCTCAAACACAGCATTCAATTGAATTTTATTGTACTATTCTTATATTACTCTGTAGTGATCTGTTTGTTTAAGTAATAAGGGTCATCTCCTGGGTAAGAGTGGATTAATAGGGGAAATAGAAGAAGCACTTCAAAAATCATTTTTGTGAGGAAATTATAAATTTTAATCAGATCTTGTAGTTTATGTACTGCATTGTTAAAAGTTACAGTTCCTCAGATGAGATATTAAACTGAGAAAGGAGTTTCTCCTGGTGTCCTGGACAACAATCCCCCAAATAACATTGGTCATTCATTTCATGCGGGATATTGTTTTGGGTAAATTGTCTGCTGTGTTTGCCTACAATATACAGTCACTTCAATTTATAGTATATCCTTGTGACGTCTTCCTGACGTGAAAGTATCAATATATCAAATGTAAAGATTTTTATTATTCTGTGTTCTGTATATTTTAATCGAACAATAGTGAATGAGGATCCTGGTTCTAGGACTTGTTAGTTTTCCAATTTCCCAGCTGACTTGCATCTGTATCTCATCATTTAGGCAAGCGAAGACCGGGTGCATTTTATTGTGTCGCGGAAGACCAGAGAGCAGTCCCCTGATATCCTGCAGGAGACTAACTGGAGCAGCAGCAGCAACAGCAGCAGCAGCCCAACAAGCCCCGATGAAAGGAACAAACATAACAAGGTAAGCACTGTGACTAGCGCACAGTTATTATTCATTCTGCAGAAAGATAGTGTGGCTTCTTACTAACTAGTACACTGGCAACAGAATTGTATTCGATCTGCATCATTAAGTTAAAAAGAATTATGAAAACATATTAAGTTATTCATTATGCTTTTCAGTTTCTTCTCAAAACCTTCAGATTTAATAAAATTATGACTTGAATCATTAACTTTATTATGGGAAAATCAGGAAAAAATATCCATATTCATAGTATTCACAGGTTCTGTTTCTCTCTGTCCTCTCCACCTTGTGAGTTTGATGATATTTGACAACAGTGATTTGCAGGTACTGATATCGGTTAGGTTTATTAATAATAACTGTCATTCTGTAAAATGAATAAGAAAATAATGTAGAAACAATCATTTATTCTGATAGATTTTTTTCTTCCAAAACTACAACAGAGAAGGCAGCTCAGTGGGCGAGTATTCAGATATGCTCAGTAATGGTGCAGTACATGGTCCAGCCAGGGCGTTCCCAGCCATTGGGACTTTGGATTTCAGGATTGAATACATGTCTATGACTCTGGGTCTGACTTGACTACTCTGCCAATCTCCTTAGATCAATACAGTCACATCTTATCATCATTGAAATGAAGAGCAACTGAGTGAACCTGTTAGGAATTGAACCCACCAATATTTGAGCCCAGGATTTTCTAATCCCAAATCTAGTGTTCACCAACTTGACTCCCATGATATACTGTGTGTGGAACAGTGGAATCTGGATTGATGGTTATGATTACAAACATGTTACAAACAATCCTGTGAAACATTTTGAAATGTCCTCCCAATGTGAAAGGTGCTTTATCAATGCAAGGATTATTATAATTATTATTACATATGTTGTGCATTCCCATCTCACCTATACAATTAATGTGAGCAGAGGTGTCCATGTGATCCTCAAGAGAGAAAGCTAAGCTACCTTCAGGTGCTTTTTGCATACTTGCTGGTCTCCAATTATAGTGATAATTTATTTATTGATTTATTGATTATTTATTGCACAATTAGATGTAAGATAAGAAAGTAAGACATTTAGCAAATCCAAAGTGAATGAAGAAGGTTGCTATATTTGACATATGGTGTGCTCCAGCTCCTGAGCAAACACATACAGTGTTTGCTACATACTTTCCAAACAAACCAAGACTGTCCATTGAGAAATTCAGGATATGGCTCAGCCTAATGATAGCTTCATGTAAAATTCCTGTTATGAAGTGCTTGTTAGGCTAATATCTACAAATATTTATCTCAGAGAGCAAGAAGCTTGCTTCAGCCTGAAATCTATCATAGAAAATTACTTAGAGAGGTTAAAGTTGCCGGAAGAATGGCTTAGAAAGTGATGTAAAAATGTCAATGGATAGTTACTGAGTGTACTCTGATGTACTTCAAGATAAACATTGTCTGCTCTGGGTCTGGATTTTATCAACGATTCTTCAGTTTTGAACTGCATGTTTATAACATGAATTTGTTCCAATTTTCATTCCATTAAATTCTCCTGCAGCTAAGTTTATTCTGTTCATTACAGTATTCTTGTTGAACTGCTAAAATACTTGAAAATAGCTTCTAAAATATTGACTCCCCCCACCCCTCCTAGCCAGTCTGTGTTGTTGAGAAGTGGATTGGAGTTTCCACCTCTACGAACTGAAAATACTTAGAACTTCTCCGAGTATAACTGTCATCTTCATCGGCTGTCATCCCAGCATGGATGCCAAGGTGCGACTGTCGGAGGCCCTTGGGGAGTCCTCCCGATGTGAACGGTGCTATTATAAATGCAAACTGTATTGTACTGTATCTTAGATCAATGGGTAGTACACTCACTTGCCTGTGAATCAGAGATTGTGAGTCCAAACCCACTTTGAGACTTATTTACGTTTGGGAATGAGTTGGGACATGTTTCTGTTTTGTGTACCCATTGCCAGTATCAAATATTACAGAAATAATACAGATATAATACAGCAAGATCCAGGGTAAAGCTCCCTCTCCTCAGTACCAACAATGTAGCCAATTTAATGTGGGTTACAGAGAGGGAATTTACAGTTCCATAGTTGTTTCTTCAATGAAGTTTAATCTGCTTTTCCCTCACTGGTTCTTACATTGTGCCTTAAGGAACCTGCAGAATGAGACTTAAAATAAGCCGCTTAGTTTAACCATGTAACAATAGCTGTATGTATATGTATTTATGACATGAACTGAAAAGAAAATTGTGTTGTTTTTAGCCAGACAGAAGCGAAGGTTTAAATATTATTATGGGTTATTATAGGTCAATCTCAAAAAGGTAGTAAATGTAATTCTAACAATGAATATAATATTTGTCTTGAAGGAACTTGAAATGATGTGGCAGTCGTGTGCCCACAAAAAACAGTCATTAAACTTTACAGCAAAATCTTATAAAGCAATTTTCAAAGTTTCAACACTATTGAAAGGTGCTATATTAAATGTAAGGGTTGCGATTCAGGTGGAATTCCACATGTAGAAACATTCCTATATAAGGCTAATATACCCCTCAAGGGGAATGGTCTGTTTTTCTAAATAGTAACTCAAAACTAAAGTTCCCCACTTAAAACATAGGCTTTAGGATAATGCGTTCCCCACTATACACCATGTGTTCGGCTAGCAAGGAACACACTTATAGGTTTACTGTGTGATTAACAAATAACCTCCTCATTGAAATTTTGCTATATTGTCTGTTCCAGTATTTTTTTATTCATTCTTTAATGTATTAATGATTTTTGATGTGATTTGAAGCCTGGATGGTTCTGTTTAGCTTTTGCATCCTTATTCTAACAATGATTGTTAACATTGACAGGTCAGGTTGATATCCAGGAGTATTAGTCGATTCATATAAATTTACTAAGATCAGCATATGAGTGAGTTAAAGACGTACAATTCTACTACAAAATGGCACATTACAATGCATTGTGTGTTTTCTCTAGAATTTCCATCATGCCTTCACGTGCCACGAGAAGATCGTCAGTGTTAGTAAAGAGCCCCAAGAGTCGTTGGGAATGACAGTGTCAGGCGGCCTGTCAAGCAAGAGCTGGGATCTGCCGATCTACGTTACAAATGTACACCCTGAAGGCTGCCTGGGGAAAGATGGAAGAATAAAGAATGGTAATCAAGATTTCACTGCAAGTTGTTTATATCCAGCACTATATACGTTTGTGCCACTTATTTGCATTAATTTAATTTTCCTGTAGCAGTTTTTCTGATGTGTATAACAAAATGCTTAAAGTGTTGGCTCAAATGTACAATCCACTATTTTCATATAATTTACTTATATTCTATACATTTTCCAGTCTATTTATGACATATTTGATTACAGTATTTGAGGTTTTGTTTATTAATTGTCTGCATTAAGTAGGCCTGCTGTTTTCCTATTGTTCCCCCAAAATTCGATCATGACACAGAGGAAAATCAACAACAACAAATTGCATTTTTATAGTGTCTTTTACATCAGGAGGATGTCTCAAGGCACTGGACTGTCGAGGGTTTGCACCTGAGTTGGGGATTAGATTCAGGGGTACCAAGGGGGTAGGGGAGGGGAGAAAGATGATCGAAGGTGTGGTCAAAGAAGAACAACAATTGCAACTTGCATTTATATAGCATCATTCACACAGGGTAGCATGTCAGAGCACTGACATTACAAATCTAGGAGGGGGAAGTGACCATGATCTGAAAGAGGGGATGGAGGGGGCAAGGTAGAGGAATTGAGGGAGAGAGTTCCAAAATTTCAGGGCGGAGTGGCTAAAAGCATGGCTGCCTATGAGTCGAGTGGATGAGGCAGCCGAGCAGAGGCAACAGATGGTGGAGTGGGGTAAGCATGTTGGAGAGATAGGGAGATGATTTGTAGATCCGTGTGAGGATCTTGAAGTCGATGTGTTCTGTGATAGGGAGCCAGTGGAGTCTGGTGAGTGCTGGTGTGATGGCAGTACAGAGTTTAGAGCGGGTGAGTATATGGGTGGTGAAGTTTTGAATTAGTTGGATTTTGTGGATAGTGGATCTGGGGAGACCAGAGAGCAGAGGAGGTTACTGAAATAATCGAGGCAGGAAGTGACAAAGGCATGGACAAGGGTCTTGGCTGCATTTGATGTGAGGTACGGTCAGAGGCAGGCAATGTGATGGAGGTGGAGGAAAGAGGTCTTGGTTAGGGACCGGATATGGGGTAGGAAGGAAAGTTGGGGATCGACTCTGATACTTCGGTTATGTATAGATTCGGTAAGTCTTAAGGAAAGGCTGAGGAGGTTGTGGAGGTCAGAGCCGCAGGATAGGAGACGTTGACAGGAGCCACAGTCTTGAGACTGACCATGAAGGAGATGAGGGAAGGGTCAACGGGAAGGGATTATCATTTTCTCTGTACAAACAGCTAATGTACTGTTTAACAGTGACCGAAAAGTGCCATTCGTCTGACAAATGATCCCATTCAATCACAGGATCATCTGCCAATGCATTATAAATATCACTAAACAAAGTTGCATTTAATTTTTTTTCTTAGGTGACATTTTGCTGAACATCAATGGCATTGAACTGACTGGCTTGTCACAGATTGAAGCAGTATCCATGATCAAACACAGTGCCACCTCCTCACCTGTCATACTCAAAGCTTTGGAGCTGAGGGTGGCAGATAAGGAGAATGTGGGGACCCAGATGCCTCTTGATGCCAATCAGAACAATATGCCTGATGATGACTGGTCTCCAGCCTGGACAATGTGGCTTGGACTGCCTCGGTAAGTCAACAAGTCAAACAGTGCAGCATTGTTCTATACACTGTTTTCATTTTAAGGCTAGACTGAATCCACAACCCCTGGAGACTTATTAAGGATTTGTTCCTAAAGAATATTTAGGAGCACCAATAAGATATTTATTCAGTTTTGTATTTTTTTTTACCTCTAACACAGTTACCTCACGATCTGTTTTTTTTTATCAACACTGTTTGCAGTCTCAATCACAGTAATGTAATCACATGCATGTAAATTGAGAGGATAATTCATTTCAGTGGCGTAAAGACACAATCATACTGTTTTGCTGCAGGAGCTGTAGATATCCTATGCAGCTTGTGTCTTCTCCCGCAATAAGCTCCAATTCCAGCCTCCAGCACGGGTGCAAACTCTCACTGTTTATCACCTTGGGACGTCTTCAGACATGAAAGGCGCTATATAAATGCAATTTGTTATTGTTATATTCGGTCCACATCAAGATGAATAAACTGAATTGGATATTGCAGATTTCAAGTGATCTATTTTTGGTCAGCCAGGTGTCTGACACATGCGGAAACCCATCACCATGCTTAAGAGTATCCAAACCAGACTGAGAATTCAATTTAAGATAGCTACTAAATGGGAAAAGAGAACTTTTTTCACACAGATTGGTTAACACTGGGAGCATTGTTTGAGGCTGAATATATATTAGCTTTCAAAAGCTAATATTGTTCTTTGATAGAGCCAGCACATAAATGATGGGCCAATTGGCCTTCTTCTGTAGTGTAAATTTCTATGGCTTTATATTGTGAGACATGTAAGGCACTATATCAGTGCAAATTGTTGTTTTCAATAATTGTCTCATGATCCACATTTAGGTGGAAGCCAGTGATTTCTGAGTATTAATGTTTTGTTGAATGCAATTAATTTCCAATGATTGTTAAACTGTTAATTTGTGCAGCAGACTAACAGCTATTAACTTTCTGTGAGTTCAATGTCTAGTGAATTGATTCATTTGAAAGAAATTCTCTGCATCTACAACTAATCACCGTCTCTCTCCCTCTCCTCCCCCAAAAACCTAGAAAACATCAAACACACAGCATGTTCACACTGAATATGATTTTATACAACTCATGAGTTCTGTCATAACACACTCAACCTTAAGACTCCCATATTATTTGGCACATTTGCTCATGTATAAATGCTGGCCAATAAGAACCAACCATGTAACCGTGCTATACAAAAACAACAACTTGTGTATTTATATAGCACCCATCATGTGGGGTAACATCCTGGAGTACTTGACAATGGCAGAGTCTGACACTGAGCCAAGGGGAGAGGGAGGTGACCGTAAGCAAGATCAAAAAGGAAAGTGTTTAGGTGGGATTTGAAAGTGGGGAGAGAAGGGGCAAGGTGGAGCTTATTGAGGGAGAGAGTTCCAGAATTTCGGGGTGTAGTGGTTGAGTCTGAGGGAGAGCCCAGGGGAGGTTGAGGAGCTCAGACCTGCACTAGAGAAGAGGTTGACAGGAGCCAGAGAGTATGGCTATGGCTTCTGTCTTGCCGATATGCAGCTGGAGGAAATTTGTGCTCATCCAGGCCTTGGTGTCCATCAAACAAGCAGACAGGACATCAGCGGACTGGAAGTCGCAGCTGGAGGAGGAGACATAGATTTGGTTGTCATCCACTATATTTGTATGGTGGAATGATTTATTAGAGTTAATGTTCTGTTTCCTTTTGCAGGATTGTAATTTCAAAGGAATGGCTAATCGAGAATGTCTGTTTGACAGATTTATCCATAAAATCCAAGTTTTATAACTAGGAATGTTTTTTAAGAGAAGAAAAGATGCTTTATCTTAATCTGACTTTATTGTAGGTTTTTAAGCATATTTAATTGAGCATAAAACCCAAGACTACACAGAATGAAAAGGTCCCCTTTTCATTGAAGTATGAAACATTTGATTCACAAAGCATTGTGTATCTAGCCATAAACCAGACATCAAATTACAAGCAAATCTTCCATAAAGTCAGCATCCTTGGCAAATAATATGGTTTGGGGTATTTAAAAATTAAAAACTGTTTGATCTCTTTATTATTTATCGCATTTTTGATTTAGACGATAAACTGAGGTCCCATCTGCCTGTTCAGGTGGACGTTAAAGATCTCTTGGCACTATTCAAAAAAAGAAGGGAGTTTCTCCCAGTTCCTTGGCCAAAAATCACCCCCCCCCCAAAACAAATTAATAATTCACTCCTTAGCTGTTTGTGGGCCATTGTTGTGTGCAACTGGTGCTGCATTTCAACCACAAAATACGCAATTTACTTACGTTAAATCCTGTGAAGAGCTTTGAGATGAATCAATCAAGTGATAAAGCGCTATATGAAATGCAAAAATGATTATATTATTATTTTGTTGTTATGGACTGTATTTTTTTTAGTATATTTGGCTTGTTAAGTGAGTAGCTATTCTACAAAAACATTTTTACTCAGATGCCACAAATAGGAAAGCAGTTGTTAGTCGATTGGCAGATTGATTTTCCGGTAATAATCCCTTTTAAAAAATAATAATAATTTGGTCACTCAATCCATGACTCGTTGTGTGACACTGCTGTACACCTTCAAAGACCTCCACAGCCTTGCTCCTCCCTAAATCTGTGACCTCCTAACCCCCTACCAACCGTCCATTCTCTCCGCTCAGCGGGCTCTGGCTTGCTTCACATCCCCCGCCTTGCCCATCCCACCATTGGCAGGCGGGCCTTCTGCCCCCACACTCTGGAATTCCACCCCAAAGTCCCTCCACCTCACACCTCCTTTATTTCTTTCAAGACCCTCCTCTTCTACCGTGCTTTTGGTCACCCTCCTACAGGTACCCTCCCCGCCCTCCTGATCCCAACCACTAACTCGGGTGAGGATCTCTGACTGTCCAGTACCTTGGGGGACGTCCTCTTGACATGAAAGGCACTATACAAATGTAATTTGTTGTTGTTGTGTGCAATTGACTACTATTTTCGCCTGCAAAATATACAGTCAATTCAATTTATAGTGTATTCTATGAAATACTTTGCGATGTCTCAGACGTGATAAGGCGCTTTATAAAATGCAAGGATTATTATTATTAAAATTATAGCTTTTGCTCCCAAGCAATGGGAAAAAATAGTTTTTTTTAAATGACAAAGTGCATTTTAAAGTCTTAAAAATATCAAGAGGGCGCAATAGGTTTTTTAAAAAAAAGGCTTTTTGTGGTCAAAATACAAAGGAAACTTTGGAAATTATAGTGGAATAAAAAGGTACCCTGTTTGCTAATTAATGTTGACAATTGTATCCGTGTCAATTGTTCCTGCAATAGAGCTCTCCATCCCCCACTAGCTACAAGCGAACATTTCTATCCTCACTTGGCTGTTGATGTTCAGAGGTTTGTTTATCTCATGGGAGTGGAACAAAGTGTTGATACTAAAGATAGATTAAAGTGAAGTGACGAAAACCATATTCTCTCCGCTGCCAATCTAGGTAACCCAGCACTCATGCAACAGGCTTAAGGTTCTCCAGTCCATCAGCTAATAATTGCTAAGTTCAGCCAGCGGTTTTACTATGACCCTTGTAAACGACAATAAATCCTGCAAGGTTAATGGTGTGTCGACCTGAGACCCTAGAAAAATATTTTTATAAAAAGAAATAACACTTGTTAAAACGTAATAAAACCATATCTGTTTTGGAGGGTTTTATATCCTACCATGATTTTATAATAGTTGTTAGAAGAGAATGACAGTGCTGTTATATAAGTCTCAGATTGCTTATTTTAACTTGGTTGAGAACGAAAATTTTGTTGCTCCTTTCAACCTAACACTGAGTATATGCTGCAAAATATTCTTCTAAGCACTCATTCTTCTAACTATATAGAAAACACCCATTAAAATCTTTTTGAAAATAAGTCTAGCTTAGTATCAATAGGCCCAATAATGTAACACTCTACAACAACCAGGTTAATATTTAATACAACAAAGCAAAAATTCTAAATTTCTTTATTTTTTCCTGACATGGCAGCCATGTTTCATACTTAGGAACATTTACAGGACCTGAAGAAAGTATCCCAGTCTATCTGTCAATTCCAAAGCTCAAAATAGGGTTTGTTTTGAATAGCATTTTTAGACAGCCCTGTGTTTGATAAATTTAGCATTCTTTTTCCCTGGCTTGCTTTCACTCTTTCCTTTATTTATTTTCAAAATAACCAAGATTTTTATAACAGAAAATCTCACCCAGCAACCGTAAGCATTGTCATTAAACAGAATATCCCTTGAGATCGAAACGTTCAGGTACTTTCCGCTCCCCTTGATCTACAACCCCTATAAAATGAATGAGACAATAAAAAGAATAACAAACTAACCTACAAACAAAAGAAAGGTGCTCTGCTCTGTCCAGAAAATGTTGTGAGTTCTTAACTTCTCTGAGTTAACCGACCACTAATGATGGTCTGAATCCTCAGCTACAATGAAAAAAATAATCTCCCGCTTCAATCAGAAGAGCTGCACTTCTCAGCTCTGAATGCTCAGGATTCTCCTCTTCCAATTCCAAGTTATAGAGTAGAATTTCTTGCTTGCACTGGGAATATCACACTCTTCTGAGTGCCGTTCTCGAGTACTGAATTCACTTACAGTAACTTGCATTTATATAGCGCCGCTCATGTGTCCCAGAGCCCTTGACAGTGGTGAAGCACAACACCAAATGGGAATAGCTAGGTGGCTTCATACACTGTCAGTCTCTTGACCACCAACGGTGATAATAGGGTTATGCTGTGAGCTCAAAGTGCATTTGCTAGGATCATTATTCAAAGCAATGCCCAATTATCTTATTTATCACTGCTTCCCCAAAGGGAATGATTTTAGGACAGTTCCATCTATGTAGGAGAGTACATTCTTGTCAATCATATGGCCAATATTTGTCCTCTGAAGCTAGATTTAACATTTTGTTTTCACCAAGTTTCTTCCTTTCCCATCTACTGAAAGCACTGACGTACGGTTCCACAAGGCCTTCCAATAC